GAGTTGTCATGGTAGAGACTCATTCCATTGAGATAGAGATGAGAAGGGAGGCTTCTAAGAGGGCCAATGCAAACGCCTTTACTGATGGTTATGAAGGGGTTGGCAACTTTCACTGCTATTGATTTCTTTGGTTTTGTCCCCTATGAGGCACTAGCAGTAGTTGGTGATGGGGAGAGTCTTGATGATAATGGTTGTGGCTCGGGGAGCAATGACTGGTCGTCGAAAGTATGACAATTGTTGTCCTGATCGTCAGGAGTACAACGATTGTTGTCTTTTTGTTTAACTACTTGTTAGGTCATGTTCTGACTTTTGTAAGCTGTTTACAAAACTTTATGAAATGAAAGCAAGATAGTCATAGACACAATAATCTTCACAGAATTTTATTTTATAAAATAATAAATAACAAAATAAATCAACTAAAACAATAAAGGATAGATAAAATCTTCAAGTGTTCGGTGTCCCATAGGTGGGCCAAGGCTCTCCCATTTTCAATATGATATCATACCAAGCACTTCCACCTAGAGGTCCTTTTGGGGTTTCTTGATTCCCATAGAGGCCACGTAGCATTCTTTGGCAGCAACTTGGTTTCCTCTGACTTCTCTGATCCTACAGAGGGTTGGGAAATGAAGAACAATGTGATAGGCTGACGGCACTGCCCTTAGGGTGTTGAGTGCAAGGAGTCCAAGTATGATATTGTAGGTAGAGGGATAATCCAATACAATGTAGTTCACTATGATGGTAGAGCTTCTTGGCGCTGTCCCTACGGTGACTGGCAGAGTGATGGAACCCAAGGGATAAACCCTCTCCCCTGAGAATCCAACAATGGGTGTCCTGATGGGCTGTAATCACTCCCTGCCGAGGTGGAGGCTATCATAGGCTAATGCGAACAAGATATATGTTGAACTACCGTTGTCGACCAAAATTCTCTTAACCTAGAAGTTGACTACCATCATGGTTAAGACGAGGGGATCATCTTGAGGGAGCTAGATTCCCTCGAGATCCCTATCTTAGAAGGTGATGATCTCATCTTTCGCATGTCAGGGTGCCTTTGTTGGGCGAGATTCATGCGCCTCTGCTTGTCTGGCTTTCTTGGCAAAGTTAGAGTCGCCTCCTCCTCCTACCCTCCAGAGATTGTCTGGATTTCTCTAAGGGATTGTTGGCATTCTCTATCACCCTAGCACTGGCCAGGTGACGGGATTTGTCCTCTGCCAATAACGTACTACCTCAGCTGGCCACGCTGTATGAGCTCTTCGATCTGCCTCTTGAGCTCATAATAGTCATCAATATCGTGACCATGATCACAATGAAAATGACAATACTTGTTTGGATTTTTACAATTCGGGGTGGACTTCATTTTTCAGGGCCAATAGAGCATGGGGTCTTCTTGTATCTGGAACAAGACGTGCACAATCGAGGCTTTGAGTGGCGTGAAGGGTTGCCATTCTCTTTGGGGTACTGGACCAAGACGGTCTTTGACAAAGACTCTCTCGGTTCTTGGTCTCTTGCTCTCTGTCTCCCCCTTGTCTTCACGGGTGTCCTTCATTTTCTCTTTTCTTCGAGAAGACTCATCTCGATGGACTTTGGTGACATCCTCAGCGTTTATGTACTTCTGTGCCCCTGACAGCTCGGGCATGCTGGAGGGTGGCTTCTTGATGACGGAGAACATGAAGCTAAAAGAGCACATACCAGCAATAAAGGTGATCAGAGCTACCTTGTCTTCTGGCTCCTCGATCTGGAGAGCTTCCTCATTGAAATGAGTGAGGTAGCTCCTAAGGCTTTCATCACAGTCCTGCTTGATGGTGAGTAGGTGGGTAACAGGCTTCTGATGTCGGCGTTCCCCAATGAAGCAGGAGACGAAAGATTTACTCAGCTCCGCGAAGGAGTGGATAGAAGAGGGTTTGATCTTCGCAAACTATTGTCGAGCAAACCCTTTCAAAGTGGTGGAGAAGGCTCTACACATAATCTCATCAGGCACGTTGTGGAGTTGCATGAAAGACTTATAGGTGTCAAGATGATCCAGGGGATCCTTAGTACTGTCGAAGATCTCGATGGCAGGCATCTTAAACTTCAAGGGTAGGAGGTAATTGACGATGTCTGTAACAAACGGGGTATCAGTGCACCTTACCAGGTAATTCGCCGATTTGGAGGCTTGTGCCTTGATGGCGTTGAGGGTGTCATCGAGTTAGTTTTGCACCTCTCTAATTTTCTCGTCTCATTGGTTGGAGACATCCTCTGTCGGGTTGTTGTAATGGCTTCCATGATCGGCATACTGTTTTCTCCTTCGTTCTATTGCACAGGTACATGAGGAGGGGGAACATGTGAGCTTCCTTCGCACTGAGGAGGGACTACTGGGTGAGGGGACCCATGGTGGGGGGTTGGTTGGCGCCCAAAATGGATAGGTTGTTGTGCTTCTCCCGTTGGAGGGAGTGGTATTCCTCCTACGGGCTGAGGGGCGATGCTTCCCTTGGCGAACATCAACTAAATGATTTGTTGATTCTGGTTTACCAGTGGCAGCATAGTCTATAGAAGCTATTGTCCGACAACGGGAGTCGTTGTAGCAGATGGTTCCAAGGGTGCGAGGGGAGGTGGAGCCCCCTTTTGGGGGGGGGGGGGCAGGTTGTTGACTTATCGACTTGGTCGTGATTACCATGAAGTAGTAAGGTAGTAGAAAACTTAGTCGATTCCCACAAATGGCGCCAAACTGTTGATGCACAAAACTGTCTCGTGCAAAATCAACAGTCGAGTATGTGATAAGGTATAATTAATAGACAATTAATAAAGTAATCAATGGCAAAAAAATAATATTTGATCAACACACAGATATATAGTGGTTCAGTCCGAATGACTTATTCCACTCCGAGAAATGGCTACAGTGGCTGGTGAACCTTTATTGATGAAATAAAGTAAGAGAAAGGGAGAGACAAGGCTAGCTCCAAGAGTGGTACAATAGCTAGGAGAGAAAAAGTGTGTAGAGAGGTGTGGTGAGATCACTGTGTCCTCTCATGTAGAAAGGACTTACAATTTATAGGCACAAAAACTTGGTTGAGGCGGTAACGTGAGGGTGAAGGTACTAGGTCTTCGGAGAGGATAGCTACAAAAGGTAAGTGCAATTAAGGTAGCCTTGATCCTCGAGGGTGTGTATCCCGATGATTTCTCTCCACGTGCTCTAATTCTTCTTGAACTCTTCGGACCTTGGGTTGGGTTGAATTCACGAACTGAGCTCGATCTGTCTTTTAGTTGATTTGGGTTAACTTGATTTATTGGGTCTGACTCAGTTAGATTTGGGCTCATCAGAGGACCTACCTAAAGGTTATCTTTGGAAAATTATGGTCATTTCCAGCTTCAATATAAGGCTTTATTTGTTTTGTTCAAATGGTCAGAGTGTTTGGTCCAGTTTTCACATACCTCGGCTATCTTCCCTGGTGATAGGCAAGCCATCTACGCTGGGACTAGAGTATTCATGAACGATAAATCCTTTGTGGTCTGGCCTCAATACAATTGTCAAGATTTATATTCAGAATAACTAAGCAACACATGACACCTACACCTTTATTTGGGCACAAATAAGGTCATCTGCATTACAGTCGACATAAAAAGAATTGATTTCCACACGTTTAATGATTTCAATTTTCTTCCTCCACCTTCTTCTTGGAATGTAAATGCCTTCCAACCCATAAGAATAGAAAATATTTCTGGCTCCAATGATACACTTCAAAAAGATAAATGCCCTTTATTCCAATCCAGCCATTTTCCTTCTTAACGAACTTCTGAAAAATAATAAATCTAATGAGACAATAAACTTGAACAATTACAATAATTGTTTATCAAGCAACCGTATGCATATCAAGACCAGGTATCACTCGCAGACTAATATGTTGCATGGAAAATACCAACCTTTTTCAGCATATGTTCTTCAATTGAACAACAGGAGGTACTATCGTTTTAAGCCTCCAAGAGAGTGTTTTTTTTTTTGCGTACACTGTGTGGTAGATAAAGTGACTGAATAATGTCATTTTACTGCTGCCGTGTTGCAATTTAGATAGTTGGCTTCTTGGAATCCTCATAAAATGCAAGCTTGGGTTTCGAAGAGATAGTTGTAGGGGTGTCCATTTGTCGGTATACAAAAGCAATGCACTCAACCATTTTTACTCTATCTTCTTCTTCAGCAAGTCTGCACCAGTTCAATGCTGTGGCATGAGTGCGATGCTGTTGTGAATCAGAATTCGAAGACAAAATTTCAATTTAAATTCTGACATCAAAATGAAATCGAAATCGGAGCACCACCGTTGGTGTCATTGCCAAAGACCTCTCTGCATTGTAACTGCGCCTCCATCGCCGTTACTACATTACCACTCTTTAATCTTTCTTCTATTCCTCACCAAACATGCCAAAATCCAAATCACCCATCACCAACAACACACTGCCATCAGCAACACTGACAAGAAAAAGGAAACAAAATCAGAGATTTAAAACCAATGATCTCGTCAGAGAGACACAACCAACAACATATATATATAAAATCAGAAACTCAGCAGACGACATCGACCTCCTGAGTCCCAATTTACGAACCTCCGCCTACGATCTATGTCCGTAAACCCTAAATTCCACCACCAGATGATTTCTCTCTCCTCTCTCCGAAAATATTCAGCATTGTAAAGCAATGGAGTTGATGATCGAACTCTGCGATCTGATTGCACAAAATCCTTCGCAATTTGCTGATAAATTGGCTTGGAATTGTGGACGATGTCCACCAATTGACTCTGTACTCGCCACCGCTAGATTTCTTTCTAAATGCCCCAATTTCGATGACATGAGGCCCTAACCGGCAGTCCTAGGGTTTTTTGGGTCGATTCCGTATTCTTTTGCCCAATCTTTTTGGCGACAGTCGTTTGTAAGCGATTCAATTGCTTCGTACGATTTCTTGAGTTACATGAATAAAGCCAGTGAGTTGTCCTCGGATTTTGCCATTGGCCGTTGCGGAGTATACGGGAGAGATTGTGATGTCGGCGGTTAACAATGTCAGTGGAGATTTGGGGGTTTCAAGGTTTTCTTGAATGCTCTGTCGCAGAATTTTCCTCCAATTCTTCCTTCCGATGCAAACAAATTAGTGTCCACTGTTCTAGATGGATTTGAAATTTCGGTCCCTAGTTCACCGAGGAGCTAGTTTCGACAACTCCTGAAGCGTCATCGTCTTTTTTGGGTCGATTCCGTATTCTATAGCCCAATCTTTTTTGCCATAGTCGTTTGGAAGCGATTCAATCTTTTGATTTCCTGAGTTATGTGAATGAAGCCAGTGAGTTGTCCTCGGATTTTGCCATGGCCGTTGCGGAGTATACGGGAGAGATTGTGATGTCGGCGATTAACAATGCCAGTGGAGATTTGGGGGTTTCTCTGTCGCAGAATTTTCATCCAATTCTTCTTTCTAATGCAAACAGATTAGTGTCCACTCTTCTAGATCGATTTGAAATTTCGGTTCCTAGTTCACCGAGGGAGCTAGTTTCGATAACACCTGAAGCGTCATCACCTCAGTGTTCGCCACTCAGTGCAAACCATTATCAATCAAATGAGAGAAACAGTCCAGGAATGAGGTCAGCAATGCCTCTGGTTCTTCTAGCGGTGACCCTTCAAGGGTTACAGATGAGGCGACCAGTGCATTGTGGCCGAAAGGATTGGTGATGAAAGGGGGCAGCCTTGCGTGGAAGAGCAATGTGGATATATTTGGGGCTGATATTAGGTTCAATGATGAAGACGAAGCGGTTCCGCAACGTACAAGCGATTGGTAGCCTCTTTTGAGAAAGAGCCTGTGGAGAGCCTTCAACAACAGGAGATTGCTTTCAAGCTGATTGGGATAAAGTCCAGATTGATCTTAAGCTTTTGTAACAAATGAGGGCCATCGCAATTTGTAAAGGAGCAACTCCAATCAATGTTGGCTTTCCTAAAGGTAAAATTCATGGGTATCCATCCTTTTGGTTTCGAAATTTATTGATGTCTTGATGAAATAACTACAGAGATGAATGAAAAAATTTGGTTAAAATGTTTGGGTTTGTTGGCAGATATGGAAGCGTGACTGGACGGAACAGGGGCAGTTACTGAAAGTTAGAATCAATACAGAGCTGTCGGTTTACCAAGCTGCAGTGGGGTTACAAATCAAGAGTCTTTCATCTGTTGATTTGAATGGGAAGTCATCAAAGAGGTTGTTGCATGGAACTTTGGCATTGTTGATAGAAGCTGCTGAAGCATGTTTATTCTGTGTCTGGCAAAAGTTGAGAATTTGTGATGAGCTCTTCAGCTCATTGCTTGTTGGGATTTCCTAAATTGCTCTCACTCAATGTGGTCAGCTGCTGCATGTCTTGCTCATTCGCTTCAACCCCTTGTGATAAGTACTGTGCTCGGTTACATTATTTGTTTGCTTCGGGCTATCTCCTACAGCTGGGGCGTATCTTGGTAACATGATTCTGCAATATGTTGCACTTTTTTGGATAAACTTTCATTGTAATATATATATTTTTTCAAACAGGCAGAGACTTGGGGCAGATTTTCTAGGACCTCTACTTCTTGCTGTGGCTGAAATATGTTCAGATTTTGATCCTACTGTATATGTGGAACCTGCACTTTTGAAGCTATTTCGCAATTTGTGGTTCTATGTCACTCTCTTTGGGTTAGCAACTCCAATACAAAAAACTCTATATGTGGTAAGTCAGTTTCCCATAATCTGAATAGTGTGGGGAGCATGGGTGCAATTGATCTTCAATTTGAAAGTGTTATTTTATGAGTCTCTTTTGTCTACATGTTTGTGCTGTAGTTTTTCTACTAGTCATTATTCAAGGCATAAAACTATTCTGCTGCCAATTACTTCTTTACAATATTTTATGTCTTACATTTTTTGTGCCATAACTCAATGTGACAATTACTTGAATTTTTGTGTCAATTACTTGCTTATAGTATTTTATTTCTTAATTTTTTTGCTATGATTCAATGTGTAATATTGCTTATTGAATGCAGTACCTTAAAGATGGAGGAAAAACCAACCTATTAAAATTTGGGAGGCTCATAAAGCGGCAATCCAAGAGGTTGGTTTATCTTTGGGTATTGTGTAGTATTTATTTTGCGGTATGATTTTTTTAGCGTTTTCTTTTCTCTTCTCGTAAAGTTCTTAATTATCATTCTCGATCTTCATCCTTTGCTTAAGATTTCTTGCAGTTATTGAACTACAAAGGCACTGATGTTAAAACTTGAAGATCCTACACCATATTGCTTTGGATACGAATGAACAATGGCGGTTTTGTTTATGGTAATCCAGGTTTAAGTGACACAACTCTGCACATACTTTTGAAGAGCATACAGGTCGGCTCCTTACATGTTTACATTTTTATTCCTTTTGAATATCTTTGAGTAGATGTTCTATTTTTCATTTTTAAATATTAATAATGTGTTTTCTTAACAATTGTGGTGGTTGTTTGAAAGTTTTCACCGGTAGTAATTATCGTATTTTAGATGATCTTTAAATTTGTAAGTTATGAAAAAAGATCACACTAGTTTTCAGACCCTAATTGACTAGGATGCAAAAATGAACATGTCTTGGTGGCATCTTGCATCATGACACCTCATAAATTCAAAGTAACGCGATGTAGCTAAGGCGTTCGACAAAAGTCCAGATGCTATGTCCTAGGCTCTCGTTGTTATGTTTCTGCAGTTCAAAAGATGTCCGCTAAAGTCGCTTTGAAAAACCTCCATTAAGCATAAATAAGGGGAGGAGATAGTTGAGGGGCACCAAGGGTCTGGCTAGCCTTGTGCCCCCAGGCCTTGGCACCGTTAGGCAAAATATAAGTGTGTCTATGTTTCTTAGGTGTATTAGTATATGAGTGTGTTTCTTTGGTGTATGAGTGTGGGTGACGGAGCATATGTTTTGCGTTTTTTTTGGGGGTATATTAGTGTGTATTAACACGGTGTGTGGGTGTGCATACATATGCTGATTAGCTGGGTTGTGTGTGTGTTTTGGTTTAGGTGAAACCGAGAAAGATTCTCTTCTGTTGCTTTGGCTTCTTTCAAGAAAGGAAAAAGTCTCAGCTCAACAACTGATTGTGGATTTTCCTTTTCTTTTGCGGCATCCCTGCAACCTTCTTTGTTTTGATCTTCTTATACTACCCCCTTTTTCTGATCTATTGCGTCGACCTTTCCTTTCGGTTCTGGATCAGCCCTTTTGTCCGACTCTTTTCCTTATACCAAAAAAAATATCATAAAACTATGAAAAATACTGGGAAACATTAATTTTATTATTTTATGATATGTTATTCTTAATGTTCCCCGGTATTTTTCATAATTTTATGATATATTTTTTTTGTATATTAATGGATTTTTTTATTAATGTGTGTGTTTTTTAGTGTATTAGTGTCTATGTGCATTTGCGTTCGTGTAATAACGTGTATTTATTGTATATTAGTGTCTGTGTTTTTGGTGGATTAGCTTGTGTTAACACTACTTGTGATGGAATGTATGCATTTTTGTGTGATTTTAGATGGTGTATTAGTGTGTGGGTGTATGTTGTGTTTGTGTTTGTGTAATAGTGTGTTTTGGTATGTTGGTGTATATGTTTTTTGATGTATTATGTGTATATTCTGGTGTATAAGTGTTTGTTAACACAACGTGCATGGGTGTGTATTTATTAGTTTGTTTATGTGTGTTTGTTTCAGTGGTGGTGTGGGCATATGCGTGTATTTGTGTAATAGTGTATGTACGTGTGTGTGCGTCTTTGGTGTGTTAGTGTGTATTTTTTTGGTGTATTAGTGTGTGTATATTTTTTGATTTAAGAGGACGGTGTGTTTTCATTAGTGTAAGTGTATTCTTTTAATCAATGTGTTATTGTGTGCGTTTTTATGTTTATTTTTGGTGTATAGGTTTTTATGTTTATTGGGTGTGGTTGTTGGCGTGTATGATTTTATGATAGTATGTCTGTATCTTTCTTATCTCGAGTGTTTTTGTGTTTTGATGTGTATAACGTGTTTGTGTGTGTGGTTATTACTCTATTTTTTTTATGTTATCGAAGTGTTTGTGTATGTGCCTCCTTATGTGTCTGTGTTTTTATTTTTATTATGTGTATCTTTGTTATTATGTGACTATTTTAAAGTTTTTGACTCTTTGGGAGGCTTACAAAGCAATAATCTACCAGTTATAAAGTTATCTTTAGGCAAGTTTTTTGCTGGTGAAAATGATGTTGCTTAATTTAAGGTATGATTGTGTAAGCTTTTTCATTCTCTTTTTTTACACTTGTCAAACTATACTTTGGATAGGAATGACTGATATGAATTGTTGTTAAATGATAATGCAAGTTCTAATGAGCTTTGGAAGGGGAGGACGATTGCATACATTCATAGGGAATACAAGTTTGTTTTCTTGCATGTCTACGTGACTTTCTTTTGCATATATTTTAGTGCATACGATAGTTTCTATTTAAAATGTAATGATTTTTATTTTTCCTTAGTAATTGTTTGTGGGGGGCGATAGAAATATGATTTGGTCTTTCCCGTAATTGGTCTATTGTTCATCATTTAAGGTATGCGACTCCTATGTTGTCAATTCATTCCTTACAATTTTTTGTTCTTTAAAATTTTTATACCATTTTACTATTGCAGTACATTAAGGCAATGGAAGGGATGCCAACTTGTTGAACTTTGGGAGACACTTACAAGGCAACAATCTAAGCAATTATGAAGTTCCTCTTAGGCGAGTTTTCTATGGGTGAACATTATTTTTGCTTTTGATTTGAGATATGATTGTGTAAACTTCTTTCTTACTTCTCTTCTCTTTTTTTGTCAGTGATAATGCAAGTTCTAGTGATACAATTTTAAAGCTTTGGAAATAGAAGACATGTGTGCATACGTTCGTAGGGCGTACAGGTTCGTTTTCTTGCTTGTTTACGTGACTATTTCCTTTACATGTATTTTATTGCGTAAGATAGTTTCTATTTAAAATACTTACGATTTATATTCTTGCTTACTAATTGTTTGTGGGGAGGGGAGGAAGGGAGGAGATAGAAATATGGTTTGGTCTTTGCTATAATTGGTCGACTTGTCATAATTTAAGGTATGTGGCTCCTCTGTAGCCAATTACTTCCTTACAGCTTTTTGCTCCTTAAAATTTTCATACCGTTTAACTACCGTGTCACGAGGTTAGATATACTCTGTTGATTGCAGTACATTAAAACACTTGAGAAGACACTAACTTGTTGAACTTTGGGAGTCTTACAAGGCGGCAATCTAAGCAGTGATGAAGTTACCTTTAGGTGAGCTTTTTACTGGTGAATATTATTTTGTTTGATTTGAGGTATGATTGTGTTAGGTTTTTTCTTCTCTTTTTTGTCTTTAACCTTTAAATTCTTGAGTATCTTTCCTATGATCTCAACGATCAACTTATGTTCTTTGGTTTGGATTTCTCATAGTTATCAAACTATGTTTTGGATAGAAATGACCGATGTGAATTGGTGTCATTGGTAGTGCAAGTTCTAATGACACAACTTTATGGAAAGAGAGGACAGGGCATACAGGCTTGTTTTCTTTTTTGTCTACGTGACCATTTCTTTAGCATATACCTTAATGCATATGACAGTTTCTATTTATAATGCTTTTGATATATATTTTTCCTTAGTAATTGTTTATTTGTAGTTTTGGTTTTTTTTTTTT